AAACGGGGGCGCCCACGTAAAGTGCGGTCGCCCTCTACCGAGTCTGCTAAGTCGTCAGATGGGGATCTGACAGACTCTGAGCTCTATTGTTTGTGTCGTAGACCGGACGATGGGGGGCTAATGATTCAATGCGACCAGTGTGACGGTTGGTTCCACGGGGTTTGTGTGGGGGTCACTTCAGAGGAGGCTTCCTCCCTGGATCAGTATATCTGCCCCAATTGTATGGGGGAACCCCGGGTAGCAAACATTGGTGTTGTTCTGGAGCCCCCATCTTGGCCCAGGGTAAGACGGGTTACCCTGGCGGTTTTACAGGAATTGTGAGTTGGTCAGCTGGTTGTGACCCGCTCTAGCGTACCCTGCCAGTCCAGACTCTTTACCTGGGAACTATCCCGGACCTAGGGCCTGGAAGTGTTTAATTGGGAGCGATCCCAGACCCCTTTTTCCCAGGAGTTATCTTGGGTGTGTTTTGTCTGGGGCTTGCCCCGGCACTAGTCGTCCCTGGGCAGTCTGCCCGGGTGGGCGTTAACAGCGCCCCATCGTTGGAGATGGTTCCGGACCCTCCCTCGCACTGTGGACTCCCGCCTTTCAAAGAAAACGGGGGGGAGTGTAGTATCTGTGCGACTGTCCCGTGGTACGACTTACTGACGAGGCTACGTCAGATGGCGGGACAGTCGCACGGATCTCTTTCAGCGCCAAGATGTCAGACGGACAAGACGTGCTGCAGAGACGGTGAGTCAGCCCGGGCCAGAACCCACTACAGAGTATATTGTATATTTGTATATAGTGATAATAAATATTGTTATAAGTACTATACCCCCGGGTAGTTACTTTAGTACTTTCTCTTCTTAATCTGTTTTGATATTCATCAATCAATCCATTATGTGTCCAACAATTGATGACTGTTTCAGGGGTAACGGAATCCCATGCTATTTTCACGTGCGGAATTATAGTAGTCTAAAAATAGAGATGGGATTTCCTTAGAATTTAGAATTTGGTTTTTTGATCTATGGGGAATAAAATGATTTTTTCATTTATTATGGCCTGGTTCGGTGAAAGCAACAATCGGCGATTTACAGTTAAATAAAATGTACAATTATTTGTTTGGGTTTATTTTAAATTTTCGTTTGTAATCTAAATTTGTACGCTTTCTCTTCCCTGACTTTCCCATTATTGTGATGAAATAATACTTCTATCTTATAAAAACAACACAAAAGAAATTGATAATTTTGAGTTTTATAAAACGATTATCTTTAATTTAGCTGAACTCCTTGTTCAGCCAGTCACGCTTCACCGCAACCACTGTCAACGCACGGGTGTGACGTCCAAATTACCGACGCGTGCTAGATAATTGGCATTGTTACCAAGGGTTTTCCTTATATATAATTTGACCTTTTGTTTCCCCAAACTAGTGGCGGATGGCAATAAGCGGGGGTGGCAATATAACGGGTGTATTAACACAGGGGGAAATCCGTTCTTGGAGAATTCCTGGCAATAAGCGGGGGTGGCAATATAACGGAGGGCAATATACCGAGGTAGCACTGTACTCTATTTGCCTCCTAGATGTCCAGGAGCAGAGAAGAAGATTTTCATGGATATATTCCATTTTCACCATGGATTTAATATAGCTCCACCCTAATAGCAAAGCCTCTGACCCAGGGGCCAAGATATTCACAACTTTGGAAGAGGCACTCTTGCTCATCATAACCATGTAATGTTTCCTTAATAACAATGGGCACAGAAGAAGATTTTCAAATAAATAATGCATTTCTACTATATATTCAAAAGAGCCTCACCCTAACACCAAAATCCCTGACCCCAGGGTTATGAACTTTTTTGAAAGATTTCCATGCAATTAGTTTTTCTATAAATACCCTGGGGCAGAGAAGATTTTCCAAAAAAAAAATGCATTTTCACCATTTCCCCCAACATGAACCCCTCATCCTGGGGTCACAAATTTCACAATTTGGAAGAGACATCTTAGATCATCATAACCATGCACTTAGTTTATCTGCTAAATACCCAGGAGCAGAGAAAATTTTCAAAGAATCTATGCAATTTCACTAAATAATCAATAGGGCCCCTCCCTAACACCAGAACCCCTAACCCAAGGGCCAAGATATTTACAATTTTGAAAGAGTTGTCCTTGCTCATTATAACTATATACTTGGTTTATCTGCTAAATAACCAGAGGGCAGAAAAGGAGATTTCAAAGAAATAATGCACTTTCACTATATAATCAATAGAGCTCCGTCCTACAATGTAACACCAGAACCCCTGAACCAGGGGCCAAGATATCACAATTTTGAAGAGGTACCCTTGCTCATCATAACTATATATAGGTTTATCTGCTATATACCTAGGAGCAGAGAAGATTTTCAAAGAAATAAGCACTTTCAGCCAATATTCAATAGCCCCCCCCCCCCCCCCAGCAGGACCCCACACCCTGGGGCCACAAATTTCACAGTTCTGGAGGAGGCACCCTTGATCATCATAACCATGCACCTAGTTTATCTTCTTTATATACAGGGGCAGAGAAGATATTCAAAGAATTTATGCTTTTCAATATGTGATCAATAGACACCCACCATAACACCAGAACCCTTAACCCAGGGGCCAAGATATTCACAATTTTGGAAGATATGCCCTTGCTTATCATAACTATATATTCGGTTTATCTGCTTAATACCTAGGAGCATAGAAGATGATTTTCAAAGAAATAATGCACTTTCACTATATAATCAATAGCACAACACCCCCCCCCCTCCCCTTCACAGGACCCCACACCCTGAGGCCACAAATTTCACAATTTTGAAGAGACACCCTTGATTATTATAACCATGCATTTAGTTTGTTTGTTTAATACCCAGAGCAGAGGAGAAGATTTTTTTAAAAAAATAATGCATTTTCCCTATATAATCAATAGAGCCCCACCCTAGCACCAGAACCCCTGATTCTCGGGCGATGAATTTCATAATGTTGTGAGAAGGCTCAATGCTTATTACAATCAAGCCAACAGTTTGACTGCTTGATGTCCAGGAGCAAAGAATATGTTTTTTAAAGATATTGCACAAATTTTAGTGGTTTTTTTGGGCCCCACCCCTCAGGCCCAAGGGAGAGATCATGAAACTCACAATTTTTGTTCCCCTTTATGCTATATGCCAAAATTGGTTGAAATTGGTTGAGCGGTTTCAGAGAAGAAGCTGAAAATGTTCCAATGTTAACGCACATCGCACGACGCACGACTAACAATGCACGAGGACGGACAAAAACAGAGAGAAATAGGTGACGGCATCAATGAATGAAATGAACATGTAAATAAATTTCAGACCATGCATGCAGAGATTATGAGAAATGAAATTCCTGCATGCATGCAAAATTTCATGGAAAATTTATCAGATTTCAAATATAATTGAATGTACATCTTTTGAGGAACAAGAAAAATTCAATACTTAATCTAAAACAGAGAAAATTGGTAATTGTTTAGAATTTTACAGAAAAATGGCATAATATCCAACTTCCATAAACTTCATAACTAGGGGTATTTTGCCATCCAACAAGATTATATTGGTCTCATAATCAAGCGGAGAGTTTTACAGTGTATATAAATGAAACTCAATTAAGTTTTCCATATTCTTTAGTCATTTTTGCAACCAAAGAGTTATGATTATTTGTCTCTATCAATTTAATGCTAAGTGTCTTCAAGATAATTGTAATATGAGGTTTGAAGATGTAAGTAAACTATGTTCAATTTAAAACAAAGAGACCGAAGGTCAACAATACAAATGGGTATGTGTTGATCTTTAAGCCATTTCATATTAATTCAATCAATATGCATTAAGTTTATTTTTTAGCCAACAGTCATGCTTGAAGATGTAAAACTATGAAAATATGCCAAATTTGAAATTGCACAGTAAAAATAATCTTTGAATATTTTGTTCTTCTGGAATTCTTGATCATGAGAAGGAAAAAAGATTCTGGGATTTTAATGAGGTATATGTATATACTGTATAGATTAATTTCACGGGTTGAAATTTTCACGTCTGTTATTAAATGCAAAGTTACTCTTGATGAATTCATATTAGAGACCTGATATTTGCACATATTTATAAGGAGTCTTCATTCTTCATGTACAGTAAAGGTCAAGGTCATATTAAGAGGTCAAAGGTCAAACATTCTAATGTCATCTACTGATTCTTTTAATTTTTTCTGAATTTTTTTTTCTTAAATTGCCAAACTTTCTGAAACCATAGGTTCAATTTCCCTCATTTTGACACATTATAAATTTATAATCTGGGTTCCGTTTTAATCCTTCTGTTGATTTTTTGTAAAAGTTGAATTACACATGTTCTTGTAGCATATTTACAAGAGAACTTGTGATTCCTGAGCTATGTTTGTTCTATTTTACATTACATTGTACTCAAATATATAGGTATAAATATATTTCATTGAATTTTATTACAAAAAAGTTTCCTTTATAAACAGCATCACACAAATGGTTATTTTTTACATAATGCACATTCTCAAGTCCAGTGTCTGATTTCACAATCTTCTTACAGGGGCATGATTGGTCATATATCAAATTATGTGTGCAAAAGATGTGTAGTTCAATTTTTTTTCTTATTATAAATATAGATTTTGTATCCCAGAACAAAATAACAAACTTTCAAAAAAATTGAATTTGAGGGAAAATTTGGCCTTTCATAACCTTGAGTAAAGCGTGATAATTAAAATAATTGACAAATGCCACTCGTAATTACTGAATAACTATGTATTGTACATATATAAATATACACATATCGTAGTATATACTCAAATTTCAAAAAAAGTTGAAAACTGTTTCATGAAATCAAAGATTTATTAACTCCAAGAATATAACAAATATTTTCACTGAGAGTTATTTCCCCCCATACAGTTATCAGAATGCTGTCAATGCAACTCAGATTCTGTTGGTATTTTCGGTACAAATCAAAGTTTTTCTATTGTGAAGTAAAATTCTGTAAACTCCCATCTCATCATAAGCGTTCTCCCTTTGAAAGCAGAAGTTTAGATTTGTTCCGTCTGTATTTGAATGAATTTCCCATCCTTTTTCTATGGAAAGCATGGGCTTCCTCCAACATTGGGGGTCTTTGGTAAATCCCAAGAGCACCTGGGGTGTACACTCTCAGTGTGACATCAATGTCTATCTCAAATCCCCGTGACATTCCAATCACTGACACCCAACCTGTAAAAATGTTTTTGATGGCATAAATAATTTGTGAATTTTAATATCTCTCTATGTCTATATCATCTAATACTTTCCAAAAATGATATCACTATTTATCAAAATAAAATTTATCGTATGAATGATTTTTGTTGTTTTCATCTATTTAAAAACAATTCTTACTATAAAACTATGTAACCAAAGCATGCTTAGATATTGAAGTTTCGAAGAAATTAGTCAAAATGTCTGATACATTAGATTCTATTCCGTAATGTCATAATTTCACAATCGAGAAGCAACACTTGCAAAATAAAATTACTTGCTTTTATTTTTTATATTTCTGAAATACATGTAAAATTTCTAGATCAAAAATAGATACACAAATTCATATTCTTGCAATAGACAAATTTCACATTCTTTTGTTATCTCCTGTTGCCGATGTAAAACTCACTTTTCTCACTATATCCTTTGTAACTTACCTGTAAATATTTTCAACCTTCAAACTATATCAAACAATTTTGATTTGTCTCTGTATTGCCATAGTATGGGGCAACATAAAAAACATAATGAACATATTCCTTCAGATTTCATTTGAAAGACATTGCCCCATAAATTTGGTAATGTTTTAGAGGGAAAAAAGTGTCTTACGCCGGTTGACCCCAGATTGACCCCGCTATGGGAAATAACTTTTGTAAACGTGAAAGTCATTATTTTGATGTTACAAGTCATTTCAGTAAATTAAGTACTTGCAAAAAATAAGGAACTCACAATAGGCACTGTCCATTCTAAAGACATTGCCCTTATTGGACATGGAGATCATGATTTATAAAGTACGAGAAATTCTTAAACTGTCCAATCTGTGAGAGAACAAAATAACCTTCAGCATATGGCCCATACCTAGTTCTTTCTCTCATACAGTGGACAGTTTCCAGCTGTTTCAGTTTCAAGTTTCTTCTTTACAGACTTTTCACTGTTTAAATAAGTTTACTGTAATGTCGAGAAGCAACATCATTCATAAATCTTGCATACTGAACTTATATTTTACATTACAAACCTAAGGAGGAGAGTTGTATGTCAAGGGCAGCCAATTTCTGAGGGTGGTCCTGGAGGTGGATCCGAATATCTTCACTCTTCAGTGGTGGAAGCTTTGCTAGCCTTAATTCATCACCAAGAGGAACCTGCAACAAAACAGTTCTGAATATGACATATGCATGCATAGCAGAAGTTGATCCATTTGAGGAATACATTATAAAAGTTGCATTCAACAATCATTTATTTTTAGCAAATGTTATTCAGATTATTACCAGTAGTTAGTTAAAGACATCAATGATCAATTATACAATTCCTTCCCTTTCTACATCCCAACACTGAAATGCTACCTGGCTTGATTAATAATAAAATTCCTCCTCATTCTCCTAACAGTTTTTTGATTGAAAAACTCTCACATCCTTCCTAGTGAAAATTATGCTCGATTCTGAATCTCTGAGATACCTACTCCAAGTACATCTGTCCCAATGTTGTTGCAGTAGAACTCTTCTGCTTCATGACTAGGCATCACATACACAGGAAGCTTAGAATTGATAAAAATCACCAACATCACATCCTGGTTCCCCTGTAACCAAACAAAATGTTAATGTTCAAATTATTTGGAAAATTTTTCCTTTGAAAATAAATCATGAATTGTATTTTGAAAAAGTGTACAAACATTAATTGTTTCCTCAGATTCCCAAATAATTTTTTTTTTTTTGGCACTGATATTACCTTATATGAAAAATACCATAATTTATTAAAAAAAAAAAAAAATTAACATTTTCAGAAAAGACATCTAGAAAAAAAATCACTGTTTTGTAGTATCAAAATGATTTGCTAATTTGCATTTTGTACCTCTACATAGTCAATCCTTCCTAATCCAGTGATGAAAACAGTATGGTCCAGCTTCAGTAAATAACAATGGGGAACAATCTTACGAGTAGGTATGATGAGCTTCAGTTCCTCAGGTGTCAGCTCTGTGTGGATCTACAACAATCAGCAGCATTTCCTCTAAGTCTGAGTGATTATTCCCAAACTTTATATACAGTACAACTTGTCTAATCAAGACACCACTGGTTCCAAAGAAATTGATAGGATTATACAATATTCCACATTAGACACCATTTAAAACAATTCCAATCACTGAAAAGGACTTAAAGTTTTGTTCACAATAGCAGGAAGCTGCGCAATATGAGATCAAAAGCACAGATGCATGTTAGAGCTTCTACACCTCACTTATTCAATGCAATAAAAATTTAATCATGGTGACCACAGAGTTTAACCATGGAGGGCCGCCATGGTTAAACCCCTTTGTGGAGAACCCTGAACAATTCCTTTATTTTTATACTGTGTAATAAGTAGTGGTGTAACAATACAGCTGACACGTTATCATGATATACTGTAAAATTCATAAATAATATCATGATATGTACTGTAGTATATCATCTTCACAATTTTATAGTAACAGGAAAGGAGAAAATGCATGGCCGGACCGGGAATCGAACCCGGGACCCCTGCATCACTAGTCAGGTGCTCTACCAACTGAGAAATTGTGTCTCTTTCCTGAAATCGGTAACCATCTAAGTTTTAAATGAAATTTAACTAAAACAAGAGGCCCAGGGGCCACATCGCTCACCTGAGCACTATGGCTAGGAAAAAGCAGAAATCAGTTCAGTCTTGAAAGGTTGAAAAGTTTAAATATAAAAGTTGTTCGGGGGGGGGGGGGGGGGGGGGGTCATGAATTGAACAAATTTGAATCTACATTATCTGAGGATGCTTCCATTTAAATATGACCAATCATGGCTTTGCTGTTCTTGAGTAGAAGATTTTTAAATATTTAACCTATGTATTCCTATGTAAAACTTTGATCACCCATTGTGGCCCCACCCGACCTCCAGAGGTCATGTTTGAACAAACTTGAATGTACACTATCTAAGAATGCTTCCATATAAATATGACCAATCATGGCTTTGCTGTTCTTAAGAAACAGTTTTTTTTTAAGATTTTTACTATGTGTCCTACGTAAAAAAAAACCCGGGGGTCATGATTTGAACAAACTTGAATCTACACTATCTGAGGATGCTACCATATAAATATGACCAATCATGGCTTTGCTGTTCTTGAGAAGAAGATTTTTCAAGATTTTTCCTATATATTCCTATGTAAAACTTTGATCGCCCATTGTGGCCCCACCTGACCCCCGGGGGTCATGATTTGAACAAATTTGAATCTACACTATCTGAGGATGCTACCATATAAATATGACCAATCATGGCTTTGCTGTTCTTGAGAAGAAGATTTTTCAAGATTTTTCCTATATATTCCTATGTAAAACTTTGATCGCCCATTGTGGCCCCACCCGACCCCCAGGGGTCATGATTTGAACAAACTTGAATCTAAACTATCTGAGGATGCTACCATATAAATATGACCAATCATGGCTTTGCTGTTCTTGAGAAGAAGATTTTTCAAGATTTTTCCTATATATTCCTATGTTAAACTTTGATCGCCCATTGTGGCCCCACCTGACCCCCGGGGGTCATGATTTGAACAAACTTGAATCTTCGCTACCTGAGGATGCTACCATATAAATATGACCAATCATGGCTTTGCTGTTCTTGAGAAGAAGATTTTTCCTATATATTCCTATGTAAAACTTTGATCGCCCATTGTGGCCCCACCCGACCTCCGGGGGTCATGATTTGAACAAATTTGAATCTACACTACCTGAGGATGCTTCCACATAAGTTTCATATTTTCAAGCACAGTGGTTCTTGAGAAGAAGATTTTTTAATGATGCCATTAATTTTTCACGAATTCTTAATTATCTCCCCTTGGAAGAAGGCGTGGCCCTTCATTTGAACAAACTTGAATTCCCTTTACCCAAGGATACTTTGTGGCAAGTTTGGTTGAAATTGGCCCAGTGGTTCTGGAGAAGAAGTCGAAAATGTGAAAAGTTTACAGACGGACAGACAGACAGACGGACAGACGGACTACAGACAAAATGTGATCAGAAAAGCTCACTTGAGCCTTCGGCTCAGGTGAGCTAAAAAGATAATACTCATCAGATGTACCTTTGTAAACAACTCATACAGCTCACACAAACATTTCTCTCATCTTATAGTGAATTTGTGCAGCACCATAAATGTAAATTGTAAAGCTACTACATTTATTTCATAAGAATGTATCAAAAATGAATTTAAAATACTGAAAATCTGATGCATCAGGATATGCAAGTACATTTTTCATACCATCTTAAGATACAATTTTTTGTGTATTGCAGTATATCATTATACCCCTACTAATAAGTATTATACAAGGGGTTATCAAAGAGTTTGTGGACTAGCACCAAAAATTTAAAACTGCTTTAGGTACATCAATGAATTTCAACACATTTAGTTTGCATCACTTTTTCTATCTATAGAATAAACCATAAATCATAAGTTTTATTTTTTTTTTATAAATTGTTAATGCTTTTGTAAGCAATGGTATGCCGAGGCAGCACAACCTCAAATATGATGTTTTTTCTACTTGAGTGTAATTGAGAAAGACTCTTTTCATATGGGCATTTGTCATCTAAAAATCCTATTAATTCAGGCATGTGGTATGACACAATTGTTCTGTAAAATTTGCAATTTTTACCTCATTCAGTAAGTTCTATGTAATTTTATCGTAAATTTTGTATGGGATGTCCAAACAATTAAGGGCTTGAAAATGACATCAAAAAGGGGGAGGGATTTCTTTTTCCAACACTCTATAAAGTTTTGCACCTGAAAAAACTGGTATAGACCTAGGGAATGTTTAAACAGGCTACAGAAAATAAAATGCATCCAAAGTTCTTGTTTTTAAATGCAAAAAAAAGATTTAGAGAGATGAAAGATGCACAGTTAATATCGATTTGTAGTCAGGATGTCAAAAGTCAGTCACGTCAAAAAGTGATGTTGATCATGTGTGGTAGAAATTGATCTCCAACAAACTAAGTATTCTGGCAGAAATTGATCTCCAACAAACTAAGTATTCTGGCATAATCAAAAGAGGATCTTTCCCTATGTATAGATCTAATTTACAATACTATATGCATTGAAAGCTCTGTTCATGACATTGTAAAGTCATATAAACAAGACAGGCTTAAGTCCTTACTTAACTACAGGTTATCTCATCAAGATAAGTGTACGAGGTAGAGAGAGCTGACATTGAGAAACACTGACATTGTCGGACGTCATGAAACTAAACGGCAAAAGCGCTGGATGATCATATAATGCCTTTTTTATTTTAGAATAATTTGGCAAATTATCAACGTATCAAGCTAAAATTTTCAACATTTCTTAAAACTTTTGTTGTTTTATGTTCCTTATAAATTTTGTAAACACAGACTACATAGTATTAATTTTAGCACATCAGTCCACGAACTCTTTGATAACCCCTCGTATATGAAACAAAAGTTTTAATTATTTCATCGAAAAATTATCTTACCTGATTGTCACACAAAAGGCCAGGAGTATCGCACAAGAATCTAGAGTCTTTATAATCCCTCTCATCATACTTCATTGGAGTTTCCATGATGAACTCTTTCCCATCATTGGTTCGTACTTTGTCCTCTTTGTATTCATACGCCATGAGATTAAATCCTGAGTACAGAGCCCTTTTTTCTGCATCGTTTGTAAAATCTGTTTTTTCTACTTTTCCTTAAAGTAATAAAACTTATTGTGTGAAATTGTGAATGCCAAAATAAATAATGCACAAGCAGTAATTGAAGAAATTTTGTCTTTGCAACTTCTGTTTTGCCTTTGGAATAATTAAATACCATATACAGCAGAGCATCCTTACACATTAATGTGGTGCATATACATGTATCTTTATTTCACCATGTTCACACATATACATGTACACTGCAGGCTTATGCAGTTCCCCACAATATTAATTATATTTCATATACATTTGCATATTTCATTTTGGAAGTAATCTGTCCTAATCAGCATATTTGAATTTCCAATCAGCAATCCTGGCATTGCTTCAAACTTAAGATGTTTAACATCAGTAGTGACTGTTCCTTCACCAAATGCCAGTGCTAGTAGTGAAAGTCACGGGTCTTTTGGCTGAGACCTTAAAAAACCGAGGTCCCGTGTCACAGTAGTCATTCACTGTCATTGGCATGATAAAGATCCCTCACTGCTTTGGCCATAAGCACCATGCATAGGTCAAAATTTTTAGCACTTCACCTAAAGGAGGTCAATCAGGCCATGCCTCTACATGTGAGAAAAATTTTTGAATGGGATGTAAAAAAAAAACAAAAAAAAAAAAAAAAAACATACAAGCAATGAATTCAATCTGCTGGGATTGCCGAGTCTAAAAAATTTTTCATCAGAGCTATTAATTTTTTCCAAAAATTTATTGAATACTGGATTAATTTTAAAATATTCTAAATGTGTTTATTTATAACTGATGATGTCATTACCAGTAGAGTGGTTATAACTTATGATGTCATTACCATGTAGGGTGATTATAACTGATGATGTCATTACCAGTAGAGTGGTTATAATTTATGATGTCATTACCAGTAGAGTGGTTATAACTGATGATGTCATTACCATGTAGGGTGATTATAACTGATGATGTCATTACCATGTAGAGTGGTTATAACTGATGATATCTTTACCATGTAGAGTGGTTATAACTGATGATGTCATTACCATGTAGAGTGGTTATAACTTATGATGTCATAACCATGAAGAGTGGTTATAACTAATGATATCTTTACCATGTAGAATGGTTATAATTTATGATGTCATTACCATGTAGAGTGATTATAACTGATGATGTTCTTACAATGTAGAGTGGTTATAATTGATGATATCATTACCATGTACAGTAATTTTAACTGAGTGATGATGTCATTTCCATGTAAATTGGTTATAACTGATGATGTCAATACCGTGTAGACTGGATATAAATGACATTATTTTACTTTCATGTTAAATACTAAAATCTGATCGGTTTAGACGCATTTAACAATCTGTAATGTTACCCTCAGCGTTAGCAACACAGTTGACAACGGCGTACGGTTCACCGCTGAATTCTCAAAAAGTCAGTTGTACGTTTGAAAGAAGCCAAATAAATGACGTCAATAAAAGCTTGCGTCCGATGTAGCTTACTTGAAAACAACAAACGACAGACGAAACATCCTTGCGAGTGCAAACTTTACATGATAAAGGACTTTTTGAGTAGTTAGTGGAGTGGTTATAAATGATGATGTTATTACCATGTAGAGTGGTTATAAATGATGATGTTAATACCATGTAGAGTGGTTATAACTGATGATGCTATTACCATGTAAAGTGGTTATAACTGATGATGCTACTAATTTCTTTTGTTTTTTGATCTCCTCTTTCATCTTCTTGTGTCGAAGAATCTCTTTTACTTGAGTTTCCAAAAGTCTTTTTTGTCTCATTTTCATCAACCAGTTTGTTTTAGAATTCATGATGGGAAACTTCAGAATGTTGATAGTTGTTCCTGAAATAGAAATATATATTATATATTCATTTCAATCAATAAAAAATTTAAAATATTTGGCTTCATTTAATTAATCTTTGGGTTTTTTTAAATAAATTTCTCCATTTCTCCTATTTCATTGTTGTATGCAACTTCAAAGTAATATTTCATCAGAGCTTTGTTTGTTTCTTCTTTTTTTCCATTTCCTTTTTTAAGGTTGGGGATGGGGGTAGGGGTGGGTCAAAAAATGGAAGCATTCCCATCATTAATCTTATTGGCACTGATTCCTTCATAATAAAATAAATTGGATATATGACAACTTGCAAACAATCATGGTATGATTTTATACCTGGCCACACAGACACAGTGGCTTTGGGGATGACATCCCTGACTTTATAGTAACAGTAGTCTGAATGAAGAAAACTGTTGTACAGAGTAGACTTTCCACTGTTAGCAGTGCCAATCATGTACACATTACCTGCAGATAGAAAACAAGCAATTTAAGTAATATCAACTTTTTTAACAACTTTATGATTACTGACCATAACCAGTAGTAATTTTCTAATGCCCTCTATAATAATGTTGGAAAAAATAACTGAAGTTACCCAAATTATACGTATAAAGTGGGTTGGGGCAGTTTACGCTTTATAAACCGCGAAGCGGTTTATAAAAAAGCGTAAACTGTTCCAACCCACTTTATAACATATAAATTGGGTAACTATTAAATTCATTCCTTATAATTTAATTTTCTTTATAACGTATAAATTGGGTAACTATTAAATTCATTCCTTATAATTTAATTTTCTTTATAATGTATAAATTGGGTAACTATTAAATTCATTCCTTATATTAATTTAATTTTCATTCATTTAGTGTAAGAAAAAAAGATGATTGCCCATAAAAAATGACTTTAAATTGTACAAAATTTAAATGTAACGTCAGGAGGATCGATACGTTTTTGTCCCAAGTCATTGTGACTTATGCAACCCAATTTATATGGTATAAAGTAAATTTTTTTATCCAATCAAATGGCGCATTACAATCAGAATTAAATTATTTCAAAGTATTGTTAGTTCAGTTTATGCATTTGGATATACATTATTAGAACTGCATTTTAAATAATTATAATTAACACTGCTTACAATTTTACATTTATCAAAGTTTAAGACAGTTCCTAAGTAAAATTCATAAACCTTGATTGTTATACCATTGTCTAAAAGTTACAACATGGTAAAAAATAATCTTTTTTTGTACTTTCTCAAAAAATCAGACATATGTACGTGTATTTCATTGTTGTGAAGAAATCCTCACCTCTCATACCCCAATTCAGAAGAAGTGATGATATTAATTTTTCTACTCCATATCCCGTTTTTGCACTTATCAAGGAAACCTCTTTCACATTATGTCTATTAAGACCTCTTCTCTTGCAAGCAGAAATGAGAGTTTCTTCTACAGAGTCTAAATAATCAGGCTGATCCTGAGGAATTATATCGACTTTGTTTCCTATCACGTAAATAGGCGTCCTTTCAGTTAACATCTGTGAGAAAATGTCCGGAATGCTGTTTTCGATATCAAACAAATCAATCACTAACAACACCAAACATCTTTCAGAGCAGATCTTTCTCATTATTTCGAGAACCTTTTCATCACTTGCTCTAATGTTGAACATCATACCTTGATGCTGCATTTTGTGACATTTTTGACATTTGGATTCTTTTAATTCTTCCACTGATAAATCTTTGAACACCTCACTTGGCATGTAACCTGGTACCATCACATCCTGACAGTGGAGTAAGGCACCGCAACCCCCACAGTGAACACTGCTCACTTTAATGGACTTGTCTGGTGTTCCAGTTAAGTAATTCTTTTTTGCAATTTCTTGATTTCCAATTTTCTCAGAATCTGAATCTATCTCTTGCCTTACCACATTCAAATCCCTCGTTAATTCACTTATTTTCTTATTAAGCTCTGAAATAGTTTCAAAATGTGATGCTCGTTCGCTTTCTGATTCATTCGAGACAAAAGAGTTAAAACTCATATCAACAATAGCCGGTTTAACAGTTGCTTCATTATTAGTATGGTTTACAACATAACTTTTCTTTCTTCTATACTTCGTATGAAAAAATCTCTTGGAATAGGTCAAAGGGAATAGCTTCTCTATGTTAAAGCGAATAACAAACGGTAATGACGAAGGTTTTGTTTGTAATAGCTGTCTGCAAAACATGTTTGTTACATGTACCAAAGTTTTCTTCTGCAAAACATGTTTTTATCAGCCTGAAAAAATACTCTGCGTTGATTCAGCTTTTTTCTTTACTACTGCAAAGATTATCTTTTACAAACGCACAAAAGATAATGATTTAGCATTGGGTAAATGTAGTGCACTAGAGGATTCGATCTTTTTTTTTTCTTAATGATTATAGAATTAATTTTTAATTTGATATACAGTATAAAACTTTTAAATTTCTGTTTACAATACTCTTGTCTAATTTATTAGATAAAGGATTCTATATACCAAAAATCTAAGAAAGCTTCAATTTCTAAATGCCGAAACCCGAAACCTCGAGTGTTTTTACCGGACCGTAAGAAGCGGGGCACGGGAAGGCCTATTCTCTTTACAGAAGTGGACAGGCTTTCGCCTACATCCACTTCTCTTCGCAAGCCTTCATGTTTTGATTCTGGAAAACTATTCTCTTTAGAGAAGTGGACAGGCTTTCGCCTAAAAGCCTGTCCACTTCTCTAAAGAGAATAGGGGAGGCCGTATAATTATTTATTTTACCGATATATAGTTTTAAACAAAGCTACTTTATTGATGTGTCCTTTCAATTATAAATTGGCTTGTCAAGGAATTTTTGTTTGGTTGTCCAAATAAAAATGTTTGGTTATGCAACCCCACCCCACCCCACCCCCAATAATATTGCTTCCTACGGGCCTGGCTTAGACAGGACCAAGTGATAATCACGTCTGTACAGTAGGAAAGTAAATTTTCATTGAGGGGAAGGAGGTGGGATAGCCATGGGGGTACTGTAAATCACTTTTTATTCAAGAGAACTTTATTTTCGCGTAATTACGCGGGATAGACCATCTCTATTCAAATATTTTGTTCTCGCAAATATTTTTATAAGTATAGATTTTATACAGTATTACCCAGAATTCGTGAAAATCTTGTACCGCTTATAAGTACCAAGTATCTATCTCGCAAAAATAAGGTCTCACAAAAATATGTTGATTTACAGTACATCATAAATTCTGAGGTTCGTTGTTAAAAAATATCTGTGCGCGCACGATTATCGGTCACAGGTGGATCAACAGGGAAAATTACATTTGAAAATGATTTTTTTAACCTTCCGTGTCGAATATTTTGTTATACATGTATATTCTTTATAAAAGAACCCTTATGTCGAGGTTCACTTATATCACTCCAAAACCTGCGAGATTTTACCATCTGCATCAGTTCTAAACAAAATTGATATACATGTACTGCAGTAATCAATAGCAAAATTGTTTTATGCCTCAGTTCTTGGATTTTATAAAGACATATCTTTTGATACTGAAGTCAATGTAAAGAACATGGAGACACATTTCTGTATTAGTTGTGTGATGTAACTCTTGACGGAATTTGAGAAGATGAACCAATTGCAAAATAAGGGAAAGTTATACAGAAGGTCAGTGTCAGAAATTTTTCACGTGTGCAACAGTGTATGAAGTTTGATCAAGGTTTCTTGAACAGTTCCTATGAAAATGAGGTGTAAGTAGTAAATAAGGAAATGAGAGGTCATGGTCGTATAAAAGGTAATGTACAAATTAGGGTCGTTGATGTACGTACTTGGGTATGAAGTTGTTTCTTGGAAACTAAGGTAAATGCAGAATGAGATAGAAAAAAGTAAGGTCAAGGTCATTTGGAAGGACACGGTAATGGAATTATGTCACAATTGAATATCTCTCATCAATGTGAACCTTGGTTAAAAGTACATGTACTATAAAAATAAACTAAAATTTCTTTGGAATTGGGTAATCGCAAAGTGGGACAGGCGGACGGAAATCAGACATGGCAAACACAGGTACTATATAGCCCTGCCTCTAACGTCTTATTTCGAAAAGTTGACTTAAGATAAAATGATCAGGGATTGCAAGAAAGTTGCAAGACGATGTGTTGTATCTTGCCCTTTCCGTTAGATGAGTTGCAGATAATTCAGAATTAATCTAGCTGATTCCAAAGAGGCATCGTTCGGAAATAAAGGCAATAAGGATGCACTTTTGCAAGCATTTTTTGCAAAACAAAACATCAACGCCAATCATTTTAATTATTCATTCCTAAATTTACTGTTCAAGAAACACAGAAGCATCAAGAGTGAGAAGGAACTTCAAAGGGCGACGGAATGAAATATTCAGCGCTTTCGTAATTACGACATAAAAAGTGAAATGGTAGATTTTCGATACCTAATTAAAAACATCGATGAATCCAAGTCAGAGTAGAATTTACTCACGGCTCAGGCTAGAGGAATAATGAAGTGACTTTCCATTCCTTGCTATCATCATGCATAAACTTTCCCGAAAAAAATGTATGTATATATAATGCAAACAAATAAATAAATGAATGGATGAATAAATAAATAAGATAAATAAATAAAATAGTAATAAATAAATAAAATCTTTTAAAAAATTATTTTTTTAAATGTCCTGTATACCAAAATATAACAAAATAATCAAGTTAATTCTAGGAATTTATCTCCCCAGCTTAAGGGCTGCAGTTTATTTGAGATATTATTTAGAAACTATTCATCAATTTTTTTGTTACTTCAAGCTCCGTGATCGGAAGGTCGTGTGTTCGAATCACGGCCGCGACTGACCTAAGTTGATAAAAAATAGGTATAGCAACTGTTCTTTCGCAAACCGCTCGGCACTTTGAAGTGAAAGTTGCGGGTCCTTTGGATGAGACCCTAAAATAGGTAGGCGTTGGCACGATAGAGAATCCTCACTGCTCAATGGTCCTGAATGCCGAGGAAAGGTCTAAATTTGAAGCCCTTCACCGGTATATAGTGACGTCTCTCTATGAGTGAAAAATTCTCGAACGGGACGTAAAACAACATACAATCAATCAATCAAAATTATCCAATGAGGTCATATTTTCAATTTTAGACAGTATTAAAGTGAATTAATCCGAGAATCATTTTAAACCAAATATGAATTTATGACCTTGACCTTTGACCTTTTGGTCTCAAAATTAATAGAGGTCTTTCCAAAATTAGAAAGAGTATTCACTGTAAGTTTCATTTCAGATTTAAGGTAAAAAAAAAAAAAAAAAAAAAGAACTAAACGTTCGAAGGTCATTCAAAAAACATGTAAACAATATTGCTCTTCATCATATTATCAAATATAAAAAACATTTATTTTTCGACTTGTATCAAATACAAATCATTTTATGCATATTTAAATTTGTGACTAATTTATTTTTGACCTTAGAATAATAAAGGTCTTCTTTAAGTCAAAGGGAGTTTGGATATGAAATTTCATCGCAAAAGCTATTATATTTTCAGAGCTATCATCTGGAAACTAGTTAGTGTACTATAATTTCATAACCAATATGAATGTTTGCCCTTGACCTTTGACCCTTTGACCTCAAAATGAATAGGGGGTTTTCTTAAGTAAGAAAAAAGTATCATTTGAACGTTCATTTCAAAAGCTCCAAAAGAACTAAACTTAACATCTAGAAATAAATCATTTTAAGCAATACAATGTTAATTCATTTGACCTTTGAAATTTTGATATTTAAGATCATGCAAGAGGGGGGTCTTTTGAAGTCATAAGGAGTTTCACGTATGATATTTTAATGCAAAAGCTAAAGTAGTTTCGGGGATTATCAGATATATTTCATCCGGATTCGGAGATTATCAGATATATTTCATCCGTAAACTATAGTTTACTATTTCATAACAAAATTTAATTTACTTGATTTCTTTTTTACCTTTAAATCAAGTCTTCAAGTCATTGGGAGTTCTGATTTAAAATTTCAGAGCAAAATCGTTCGATCGACTGGAAACGAATATGTTACAGACAGAGAGGGTGACGAATGACGGACAGCTGTGCGGACGGACATACAGTGCCTAATGAATACCCCCCCCCCCACTCCCGCCTTTAGCGAAAGTGGGAGGGACAATAAATATTTTACATAAATTCCTCAAAATCCTATATGTTCTTTCACAAATATCATGATTTTGCCATGGTGATCATCAATAAGCTTTTTGGGAAATAAATTTCGAACAATTATACTTGAAATGGTATGACAAAGATAATGCTCCAATTAAAGGTTGATTATTTGAGGAGATGACATCGGTATGGCGGCTTTTAAGCATTTGTATCGAGAACAAATCGAAAACTGCCCTATAGAAAGTTTCGCGTCGAAGATCATATAACCTTTGAGTGATAAGTACACGAGGATTGGAGAATAGACCTCTCTCGACCTCTCTCGACCTCTCGTTACTTACAATGTACATGTAGGTACATATTGATAAATATGTTACATTAGAAGTTTAAGCTGTTATCCTGGTCCGTCCGTCTGTCCGTCCGTCTGTGGTGGTTTTATATTTACTCTCGCTATCTTATAACACGCTAGGGAGTACGTTTTATATAACACTCTTCATGAAGGGAAGGAAAATTTCGAGTTTGTCGCACTTTTGATAAGTTTTTTTTCGCACTATGAAAATATATCCTTTGATTTTGTTTTCACGATGTGAAAAATATCGCTTTTATTCCATTGATAAATCAATGTTTATTATAATAATATAATATTTGATAATACAGTATTTCACTGTTGAAAATGTAATAAAGAACTGTTCTTTGATGTAGGTAAAAAACTACGACAAATGAAAATGAAAAAAAAATCCAGTAAACAAAAAACAGGTATATAAGCAAAGAAGACAGTAACTCATCCTCGCAAGCCAGAGGTCCTGAGCCAATATTTTTCAATATAAGTTAACGTGTCTAAAAAAAATCTTATAAAGTTGGGGTATCACCATCAATATTTGTACAGTGCCTATGTCACCAACGACCTTTCACGTTCCATACAGATATTTAAAATAATAATAATCAGCTAGGGAAGCTAGTGACCAATGATTTTACGACAAAAACAATTTTCTTGTTTGCATATGAAGCTTTATATTTAATTTTCCTGTCATATAGAAAGCTATATCGATTTTTTTTCAGGTAGATTAAATGTACATTAAATGTAACTTGATTCAAGATAGC